CTTACCTCCTCATTCCCTTACTAATGGTGTAAATTGTTGATGAGGACCTGCCATACTTCCTTGTGAGATCAATCACACAGACACCACACTCATGCTTTGCTATAATTTCCTTCTTTAAATCCACAGTAAGTGTGTCTTTCTTCCTCTTGACAACACTATCTTTAGCAAGCAGCTTCTTTGGAGACATCGTGTGTTACAAATTGTAGTCGCAAAACCACTAAAAACTCAAAGAAAAGCTCAAATAAATCCAGAGGGATGCTTGTCGTGTGAGATACAACAACAACACTGGCGTCGGAGGCGTCCGAGAATTTGCGAGAACCCGCGAGACGCTAGGAAGCGCCATGTGGTTTCACTCGTTAATAGAGGCGAGCTCGTCAATAGAGACAAATTTGCTGCGAGTGGCTTGCTCGTTACTGGAAAAACTCGTTAATAGAGCCACTCGTTAATAGAGGTTCCACTGTATTTTGAACATATGCTCTAACATAGAAACTCTCCAAAACATTAACAACATTTTAACACTTTATGCAGATCAGGACATAACCTGGAGTTCTGTTTCGCCTACATGCTTCCGCAATGTAGGCGACATAAAATGATGTCCTGAAAAAAATATTTGTATAAAATTCAATTTTAATCCGATTTACTTTGGGTTTGTTTCAAACTGCGCGCCATGAGGCTCTTTTTCTCACCACTAGGCTGCATGGTACAATAAGTTCATGAAAGGTGTGGACCAATTCGATCAAATGGTATTACCAATTTACCAGGAAAACTCACAAGTGGACCAAAAAGATAACGTTTTATTTCCTGCAAATGGCATTGCATAATGCCTTTGTTTTGTACAAATACAACACAACTGATCAAAAAAAGCTAACATTGCTACAGTTCCACGAGGTGGCAATTTGAGCCCTATTGCACTGGGACCCGGAAGATTGGCCTCAAACAGCAACAGTATCTCAACACTTGCGGCACGCTCCAGACATAAATGATGACACAGGTCCTGCCTATGCTGACGCCATGCAAACTCCCGGACCATCTGGTGTGAGGCGGCCCTTGTTCACTTTAACACCTCAAGCTGAAGCAGCAACCGAATCAGAACCCGAGATGTCTGGCACACTGCCATTTGACGAGACGGTTTTGTCAGATGACTCCGACTCAAATGTTGAACCTCCAGCGATTCAGTTGATTCTGAAAATCGCATGAACTACAAACTGAAACGAGTATTTTGATACCAGAATGAACACTGTATCACATAAACTGCCGTAAGTAGACTCGAACCTTCATAGATTTTTTTTTGGGTGTAGCGTGTGTCTGCACGAGTGTCCCAAACGGGTTGCAGGTGGGTGACTTTAGCCGTTTATACTGGTAATGCTTCCCCCATATCATGTATTATATGCATATGTCTGTTTAGGGAATTTTATTCCGATCAATGTACAACCAAAAATAACTGTGTGCAACAAGTATAAACTTGACAACCATAACAACAGTAAAAACATTTTGTGTGTATTTGACACTCGCCGATATGTTCCAGCGTTGTTTTATATTTGGCGCTATTCTATCTTACGCTTTGTTGATCTTTTTTACCTACGGGCTCATAGAACATTCTATTGCGAACACATTGGCACAAAAATGAATGACGTACATATAATAATAATGTCAGGACAGTGAAATAAGTATAAACTTTCAAAGCGCCGTATCGCACATGTGTTGTCGCGTCACCGATACCGGGTAACAGTTCCGCCACTTCCCACACTCTTGCGGGTGGGCCGCGACCATTATTCTACGTTTAAATTCATATCACCGTGTTGGGAATTTCATTGCGAGTCCATTAATACCAAAATTAACGCTGTAGGACAAGTGTGGAGGTGATAACAATCCCAAGAGTAAAAACATTTTGTTGCTGTTGGGCGCTCACGGCGAGTCATCTACGTAGTTATTTATTTGGTGCTGGTATCCCTATACGTTTCGTGACCCTTTTTACTGATGTTCTTCTAGAGAATTTTATTGCGAACACGTTGGTACCATAATGAAATACGTAGCTCGAGAACTAAGGTCAGGAGAGTAAAAAGAGTATACACATTTTTGTTTTGACGCTTAAGCGACAAAAACGCCGAGCGCACATACCGCTTTTTTTTAACCTTAGCTGGGCGCGCGAAAGTTTTAATATATAGTATTATTTTAATAATACTGATATTTATGATATTTTAATATATCATGCCCGAAACGCTTTGCGTAATAGTGGCTTTAGGCATTGTATGTACTAGCTCTACCTATAAGTCAACCAATCTTTGTAATAATTTATTGTATGTATGTACCTTACCTAAATAAACATTTTATTTTATTTATTTTATTTATAGGTACAAAAATAATTACTCAAAATAATAAAACCTTAGGATTAATGATTTGATAAAACTAGAAAATACTATTTCTATTTATTGTATTTTTTTTTACATTCAAAATAAACAAACTTGTGGCCAAAGTGCCAAATACAAACATAAAATTAACATTAAAAGTTAGTTCGAGTACTAAAAATGAAGTAGCCAGATCAAGTTATTCAAAGAACTCTTTTTAAGTCTTTGTAGGGGAATGATAAAAATGACAAAGCATAATCATAATCACTTAAAATATAGTACCTGTGCATCATAAATCTAAAAATTCAAGCTCAGCATTGACATTTAATGTACTATACTCATGAGAGAAAAAATAAAAGGACATGCCATATACTTTAAAGATATCCTCGAGACAAAAACTGCCTAGCCCAGTTCAACACAGTTACTGTCTCTACCAACACCACAGACGATGGTGATGCATCAACCCTATCTGACCACAAGACTGAGCCCACACCTCGTGGACTGCAAATGCCAATCATTATGCACCTACTATTGCACCCCTTATTGCAATCCTAAAGCCTTAGTTTGATTTAATTACATTAACTGATTTATTTACAATTATTATTAAAATCTCTACTGGTAAATAGTACAATAGCTATTTTGTACTCTTTCAATACAGTAATTATCTAATAAAATAATCCTTTTCTATAAACTACACCCATGAACATAAGTATACAATTAGTAGTAGGTGTTAAATATGCAGTTACCCCTCTAAGGAGAGGAGTCATCTTGCAGAATCTTGAAGTTTTCTATTCATTCATAACCTTCACTTCATAGTTGACAAATCATTTTCCCTTTTTAATAGTAAACGTATCTCTGTTTAATAAGAGTCACGACTGAAGCTTGGCTCCCTGTTTCCACGAGGATATTCTCGGCTTGAATGCGAGTCTGGTGACTGATAATCTTGCCTTCTAGATGAACGTGAATAATCTCTCTCCCTTTCATATCCTCGACTTCCTCCTCCATCATCTCGACCATAGGCACCACCGCTGCTTCCACCACCTCTATCATCTCGTCCATAATTGCCTTTGTCTTCCCGACCAAAGCCACCTCTGTCTTCCCTACCATAGCTGCCTCCATATTTGTCGTCTCTACCATAGCCACAGCCCCTGTCATCTCGACCTGATCCTCCTCGGTCATCGCGGCCGAAGCTTCCTCGGTCGTCACGACCATAACTACCTCGTTCATCTCGGCCATAACCGCCTCCTCGACTAGAACCACCACCTCTGTCATCTCTACCAGAATTTCCTCTGTCATCTCGCCCATATCCTCTCCCTCTGTCCCTGCCCCTACCACCCCAACCTCCACGCCCTCCATCTCTATTGTTCCTAGAGTCAAAATCCTTGCGAAAAGCAGATTTTCTTTCTTCAAATTCCTTCTGCTTTTGTTCATGTACAATCTCTCTCTTATTTTCTACCCATTTTTGAAAATCTTCAAAATCTGGTAAATCCTCTCTCTTCTTTCCATCTGCACAGGTTGCACCCCAAACATCAATCTGCTGATTTCCTTTGGTCGAGTAGAAGGCAGCAAAGCCCAGCACCTCTCGCATCTGTTTCTCCTCCGCTGTTAATTCTTGTGGTGGATATTCATCATGTCTTCCAGATGGCCCTGCCATATAAACAGATCTGCGATGAGAACCTCGAGGTGACCTAGATATTGAACGCGACCTTGAGCGAGACCTACAGTCTCTTCTCTCACGTTCACGATCTCTATCATGCCTACCTGGCTCTCTTTCCCGCGAATGAGATCTATGTCGGTGGTACTGTTCACGATCCCGTTCCCTTTCATGTTCTCGCTCTCTTCCCATTGTGCTACAGCACGAGTACACTCTCTTACACGCCTTAACACTCGTTCAACAACACGCCGCAGTAGCTGCGTGTTATAGGAGCTGTGTGTCTAGAGAGACTGAGCCATTATAGCCTTAGAATTTGTTAGTGTAGAATGCCGAGGGTGTGCAAATATCCATGACGTCACGGTCTGATTAGTTTATATTAGTTCTACTTCTAATTGTCTTATCCTAATTTTGCTATATAAATTTTTCCAGTACTGTATACATCTTATTGCTTTAATGTTGAACCCACTTTTGAATACAGTACCACCTTTCAAACTGTTAGCTAAATGTCCCTCACTTTATGCCAAACAAGTTTAATTTAGATCGGTACACACCTGTTTAGACCAGTTGGTATTGTAATGTAAAGCTAATGTCTATTCACAGACATAATAATAATACAGTATAGGATAAAAAAGTAAAGCACTCAGGAGAGTGCGAAAGACTGTAATTTCTTGTCATAAATCTCACAAATACACAAGTGTCGGGTTTTATCCTAGTGTAATGATTTGCAAAAGTTGTTACAAGTTTGATTCTGATAATGACAATATTTATGTGCTGTGCTCATATTGTGATGCTCTAATGTAATTAATGTACTGCAATTTTTTTGTAAGCTTTCACAATTACAATTGTACAACAATTTATGAATAAAGTATTTGATTTGATTTAGAGAGGAGGACGACGATAGGAGGCAAGAAGTAGGGAACAATCCTTATACACCCACAGCCCATTAATGAAACAAACCAATCAAATTAAAATCTAAAATAAATCAGCAATTATTAACTAACCTGGATTAGAGATTTTAGCAGAATTAACCCTAAAATCAATTGGAACTGTGTGTCCTGCCATGTTTGTTCACTAAAAAACCAGCGTTGAATGTAATGAAACCCCATTTTCTGGGTGAATCCCGGAGGCTCCCCGGAGCTATCCCAGGCTGATATGCTAATGTCAGACTTTGGCATCAGTCATGTGTATGGAGTTCTTAGGCCTACCGGGGACCACGGCCAGAACCGGGCCCCCTCAGAGAGGCAAGGAGAGCAATGGCCTATAGAAGCCCCCGTGTGGTTGGAAGCATTCTATGTCTGCCATCGACCGGAACAGGCACCCAGAAAGGTAAGCGCCTCAAAACAAACCCCTATTCTGGTTAAAATTGCTACCAAAAGCTGAACTAGTGGATAGAACTCCCCAACAGAAAACAAGGAAACTAGTGTGACGTCACACACCTCCGCGCCGCTGTCTGCGCAGCTCCCCCCTCCCCAGGAGGGGGAAGGGGGAGCCCCAGAACCCCCACACCGGCTACCCACACCTCAGTTCTTGAGGCTGGATGTCAAAAACTAAAAAAAAAGGCCGACCGGAGGGAGGGAGGGATGCCGGGGAGCCTCCGGGACTCACCCAGAAAATGGTGTTTCATTACATTCAACGCTCAGGTTTTCTGGGGGAAGCCCCGTCGGCTCCCCGGAGCTAACTACCCACAGACAGAAAAAGAGGGACTTACCCGGGAGGCGGTCGTCGCTCACTCCTCAACTCGAAGCCGAGACAACTGGCTGCAACCGGCGACCCAAAGCAACACAGGCCCGACGAGGCCCAGGGACATTCACAAGGTAACGAGCAGCCAGGACCCTGTTCGACCGCCAAAATCCTCGTGCCCGAATATCAGACCAAGATATATTCCCAAAGACGGCAGCAAGAGCCGTGAACGTACGAACGTCATGGGCACGGGGATAGACCGCAGGCTGGCTGGACTTAATAACCCTGCGGACGACCTGGGAGACCCGAACCTGCGAACAGGGAAGAAGGGAAACCGATTCAACCCACAGCGCGTCCCCGGACACAGAAGCCGTGGCGCGCAAATAACGGCGAAGTGCCGTAACCGGACACAAAACATGATGCACCCCCGGCCTGACCAACCAAGCATCAACCACCCACGGACCCCTCCAGAACACAGCAGTCTCATTCTTCGCCAGAAAAGAAGGAGACGGCTGCAAGCGAACAACACAATCACCACGACCAAAAGAGCAGAAACCCCTGCGCCAGAGGAGAGCATGAAGCTCCCCTACCTGACCCCCAGAGGCCAAAGCCAACAAGAAAAGTGCCTTGGAAAAACAATCCTGGACCGAAGGGGCCACAACGAAACGAGGAGACGAAAGGAAAGCGAACACTCTGTCCAAAGACCAGGACGGCTCAGGCGACGCATGAGCAGGCCGGAGGTGAAACAATGCACGAGACAGCTTGCGAAACGGCGCAGACGTAACATCAATACCGAAGGCAAGCTGAAGCGGCTCCGCCAGCTCCGCACGATACGAGGCGACAGTGTTAGGCATAAGATGACGGTCCTGAAACAACCACGAGAGGAAGGACAAGACCACCCAAACAGACAAGGAATTAACACGATGAAGACGCAAAAAGAAACAGAAGGACCGCCAGGAAACTTCATACTGCCACCAAGAAGAAGCCCTCAAGGTGGGACACCAACAAGGAAGCCACCTGATCACCATAGAGATGATGATAAACTCGAGTAAAAAAACCCATACGCTTAGACTTGAGAAGATCGAACCAGCCACGTGACGTACCGGCCCGATCTGCTGAAAGAGGCGGAGACGCAGGAAAACCCTCGGGTTCGGGCACTGAGCAACCAGCGCCTGAAACCAAGGCGGGGCCGGCCACCAAGGGGCCAGAAGGACAACTCTCCCCTAGTAAGTCTCTAAGCGAGTCAGGACCTGAAGCAACAGCCGAACTGGGGGAAAGAGGTACAGGAACCCCCACCTCGACAAGTCTAGCCGAAAGGTATCGACCCCAACGGCCTCGCGATCGGGGAAGGGGGCCGCATACACGGGAAGACGCCGCGACCACGCCGATACGAAGAGGTCCACCTCGGGGCACCCGAACGTCTGGCAAAGCCAATGGAAGGACTCATCGCCGACCGTCCACTCCGTGGAGAGGGGAACAAAGCGAGACAGGGCGTCGGCCAAGACGTTGGACACTCCCTTGTACGTGAACCGCCAGGAGAGCCAAACCCCGAGAACTCAGCATACGAGTCACCTGAAGCAACCAACCCCAAAGAGACAAGGACCGCACTCGAACCCCCGCGGTTCAGGCAATGAACCACTGGAGAGCAGTCCGAATGGAGCCGAATCATCGATCCGCGGGCCACCTGAATCCTCCCAAGAGCGAACCACATTGCCGCAAACTCCAGCACCGTGCTGTGAGCTCGACAGAAGGACGGATCCCAACACCCCTGGCCAGACTGGTGAGCACTGGTCACAAACCCCCAGCCGAGAGACGACGCATCCGTGTACATATCAGGCGAGGGCTCGGGAAGGCGCCAAAGGACTGAACCCCGAAAAACCCGAAGAGGAAGCCGGTGACGCAGCAACCGACGCAAGACCCCCGGGGGTCGAACTCTGCGATCGCGAGAGAGGCGGAAGGGGGGACCCCAAAGGAACCAGAACAGCCGACGAAGCCAAACCCGACCCGGCAGGCAGACCACCATCGCGAAGTTCAGGCTCCCGCACAGCCCCTCGAGCAACCGCCGGGTGACCCGAGGGCCCACCAGAAACAGATGAAGGCGGGACCGCAGCCGCAGGAGAGACTCTGGAGGGAGAGACAAGGAGGCGGTTCGAGAGTCCCAAACGAGACCCAGCCAAGTCCAAACCTGAGAGGGAACCAGATGGGACTTCCTCCAGTTCACCAAGAACCTGAACCCGGCGAGCTGGGAAAGAACCAAATCCCTGGCTAGCAAGCAAGCTGACCGGCTGGGAGCCCAAACCAGCCAGTTGTCGAGGTAGGCCAACACCCGAACACCTAGGAGACGCAAACGAGCCACCACAACCCGTGTAAGGCGTGTGAACACGCGAGGTGCCAGGTTCAACCCGAACAGGAGACAACGAAAGCAGTAACTTAGACGCCCCACAACAAAACCGAGCCAGCCCCTGAACCGCGGATGAATCGGGACATGCTAATAAGCGTCCTAAAGGTCCAGGGACACCATCCAAGCGCCATCCCGGCTCCAAGAGGAGCCGAACCTGAGACAGCGTAGTCATCCGAAAGGAGGGGCAATGAACCCAGGGGTTCAGACGGGACAAGTCCAGAATGAACCGCAGGTCCGCACAGTCCCGTTTCGGAACCGGAAACAGACGGGAAACCCATCTGAGGGACGACGTCGTTTCGACGACGCCCAAGCGTACCCACTCCATGACAACTCGACAGAGCGCAGGGGAAGAAACCTGCCCTGCCAGCCCCGACCCCCCCAAGGGGGGAGGGGCCACCCAACGCCACCGCACGCCGCCAGACATGACCCGAAAGGCCCACAAATCGTGGAACCAGGCGCGGGCAAACAGCGCAAGGCTCCCCCCCTTCCCATCGCCCCGTCAATGGGGCAAACCACGAAAGGGTCGCCGACCCTTACGAGACCCAGAGCCCCACACAGAGCGAACACCGCGCCGACCAGACGAGGGAGGGTCCAGAGTAGGAGCCGAACCCGAACCTGACACCAGAGGCCTACCACGATGAGAGGAACCCCGAGCCCTGGCACGACCCTTCCGGGAAGACCCACCCCGGGACCCCCGGAAAACCAACAAGTCCGACATCGGACGACAAGCCGCCGACGCAGCCTGAATAAACTGCGCCACGGCCGACTCCTCAAACAGAAGAGGACAAAAAGGTGAAGAACGCCTAAGAGCCAGAGCCCAAGCAGATTCCACGGAGGAACCCAGCACCGCCTGCCGACACGCGAGACGGGAAGCATAGAACAGGGAAACCGCATCCCGCAAATTCGGCGTGAACAGCTTCAACAAGGCAGCCGACGAACGCGCAGCCGAGGACAAGGTGCCGGACCCCGGGACGGACCCAAGCGACCTCACATCCTCCACGAGCCAATCCGAGGACAGCTCCAGGAGGGAAAAGAACCGCAAGGCCGAAGCCAAAAGGCCCCGGGCGCGCAAGTCCTCCGCAGACGAGCGCCGCCGAAAGGGAGGGAACCTGCACATGGAGCTGAATATACGCCCACATCGCGGGGAAGGGCAGGGGCAAACAAGCACTCATTCAGGTACTCAAGTTCATACACCCCCAGGAAAACCTGACCCACCGTGGAAGCTTCCCGCCACTCCAGCGTGCGGGAACGACAGAAAGAATGCCAGGAATCCCAGACCAAACAAGGGGCAGTCTGCTAGCCAGGACGACTCCGGAACCTCGTAATAATAGCCAGAAAGGGAACGAAGTCCCAAACCTGATGCTGTGGTCACAAGGATCCATTTCCGAGGCATAATGCGGGTCACGCAGGAGGTAAGCTGCAAACTGGCCGCTCGCACCACACCAGGTTGGATGCGATTTTTTTTTAAAATGGCGTCTGTTTACAAGAGCCCTCCGGAAGTGTGGTGAACCCCACGTACCACGGGCCATTTAAATCTTGCGTAGTACTCCAACACGTCACATGACGGATGCGCAGGGACTGGAACAACGTCTACCACGTCATATGACGTGATGCGCACTTTAAGGTTAAGAGGAGTCGCGCTCAAGTAGTCCCAGGCAGGGCGCTGCTAACCAGTGCCCAAAACTACCAAGCGAACTTCTAAAGCTGTACCCCAGGGACGTGTACACTCACTGGGACCTAGCAGGGGGCGCTACCGAGGAGAACAGTGGAAGGGCAAAAACAAATGGAATAAAATGACAGAACCCCCCCACCAGGCAAAAACAAAAAGAAAAACAAAACCCCGCAAGAGGACAGCGAACCCCAAGGAACAGAGCCGGCCGCTATGTCCGGAATACAAGCTGTGCAGCACCCTGCGCCCCTACCAGTGCAAACTGCCTCTTACCTGCCGGTAACAAGGGAGAACAGAACACCCAAGAGCCCAACAGGCGGCCGAAAAACCAAAAAGGTAAAACGGACCAGCAGAGGCAGACCCCGAAGAGCCTGTGGAAGGTGGCCCCAAGCCCCAAGGGCAGTACTTACATGGCACCTAGGGAACGCAGCCCTAGGCGCATGCAGCCCGAGTACTGAAGATAACTCCTGGCTCTCGCACCCACAAAAAAAAACACCACACGCAAAGCACAGTGCTGTAGCGACACCGAAGCCAGAGCACACGACCTTCGCCTATAGCATCAGCCTCAAGAACTGAGGTGCGGGTAGCCGGCGTGGAGGGTCTGGGGCTCCCCCTTCCCCCTCCCGGGGAGGGGGGAGCTGCGCAGACAGCGGAGCGGCGGCATGTGACGTCACACTAGTTTGCTTGTTTTCGGTTGGGGAGTTCTATCCACTAGTTCGGTTTTTAGTAGCAATTTTAACCAGAATAGGGGTTTGTTTTGGGGCGCTTACCTTTCTGGGTGCCTGTTCCGGTCGATGGCAGACATAGAATGCTTCCAATCACACGGGGGCTTCTATAGGCCATTGCTCCCCTTGCCTCTCTGAGGGGGCCCGGTTCTGGCCGTGGTCCCCGGTAGGCCTAAGAACTCCATACACATGACTGATGCCAAAGTCTGACATTAGCATATCAGCCTGGGATAGCTCCGGGGAGCCGACGGGGCTCCCCCCAGAAAAGGCAAAGTCCTTGTAGGAACAAAGCCGTTGGCTCATGTGGAGTTTCACCTTCAGAACGAATACTCACCTGAGCTATTTTTCCACTTCAATTTAAATACCCATAATTGTTGACCAAACCACACACTAGAAAGTGAAGGGACAACAACATTTCGGTCCGTCCTGGACCGAATTTCAGCCACGTTATTGTGACTCCTCACCTGCATGTAAACTCATGATCCTTCAATTATTTCAACCATAGGTTAGACATATGTGTCTGCCAGGACAAGAGTCCTGGCAGACACACATGAAAAAAGGCTAACATAGTTCCAATCTAAAAGTGACAGCAGAGATCCCCTTAATTATGGACCTGTATCATTGAAAAGTGTAGTCAAAATATTGGACAAAATTAAAACCACATGGGTAGAACACCTGGAGAAAATTTATATAACAAACGGTATGGTTTTCGATCCGGAAGATACCGTGTAACAAATCTACTTAGGTTTCCACAAGATTTTACAAGAAAGAGATGCTTGGGATTTATTTGGACCTAACAAAGGCTCTCAACTAAGTTCTACACAAGAGGTTGTTCTGGAAACTGGAGCATACTCGAGAAGTGACGGAGGCTTTTAACACAAAAAATTTTCTCAGAAAAATAAGGGCAGTAATCCGAGACAATGTATCGGACCGGAGAAATGTTACGAGTGGAGTCCCACAGGGTTCAGTTCTTGCACCAGTAATGTACATTGCCTACATAAATGACCTACCAGAAGTAATACGCAATTATATGAACGTGTTTGCTGATGATCCCAAGATACTGGTAAGAAGCTTAGACGCTTGTCATATTCTGCAAGAAGACCAGGGTACAGTAAGTGTATTGGGCGCCACCTGACAAATGGAATTTAATGTGCATAAATGCCAGGTTATGGAATGAGGAACAGAAGAACATAGACCCCACACAACCTACAAATTATGTGGAAAAGCTTTGACAAATTTTGATAAAGAGAGCTAGGGGTGGCTCTAGAGATTAACACTTTCTGCGGATGAGGACTCCTCCCGGCGTCCTGTTTCGCCTACCCGCTCCCGCATGGTGGACATAAATTTATGTCCTCTTTTAAAATATTTGTATAAAATTCAATTTTTATCCGATTTACTTTGGGTTTGTTTCAAACTGCGCGCCATGAGGCTCTCTCTCTCACCACTAGGCTGCGTGGTACAATAAGTTCACGAAAGGTTCACAAACATAACAAAAGTAAAAACATTTTGTGTGTGTTTGACTCTCACTGATATGTTCCAGCGTTGTTTTATATTTGGCGCTATTCTATCTTACGCTATGTTGATCTTTTTTTACCTACGGGCTCATAGAACATTCTATTGCGAACACATTGACACAAAAATGAATGACGTACATAGAATAATAATGTCATGAGAGTGAAATAAGTATGAACTTTCAAAGCGCCGTGCGTCGTCCCGTCACCGATACCGGGTAACAACTTCACCACTTCCCACACTCTTGCGGGTGGGCCGCAATAATTATTCTACGCTTATATTCATATCACCGTGTTGGGAATTTCATTGCGAGTCCATTGATACCAAAATTAACGCTGTAGGACAAGTGTGGAGGTGATAACAATCCCAAGAGTAAAAACATTTTGTTGCTGTTGGGCGCTCACGGCGAGTCATCTTCGTAGTTATTTATTTGGTGCTGGTATCCCTATACATTTCGTGACTTTTTTTACTGATGTTCTTCTAGAGAATTTTATTGCGAACACGTTGGTACCAAAATGAAATACGTAGCTCAAGAACTAAGGTCAGGAGAGTAAAAAGAGTATACACATTTTTGTTTTTACGCTTACGCGGCAAAACGCCGTGAGCACATACCGCTTTTTTTTTACCATCCCAATGGGGCGCGAAAGTGTTAAGAAGCACATCAACAAACTGGAAAAGGTGCAAAGACATGCTACTAAGTGGCTCCCAGAACTAAAGGACAAGAGCTACGAGGAGAGGTTAGAGGCATTAAACATGCCAAAACTCTTAGATAGAAGAAAATAGGTGCTATGATCACCATGCACAAAATAGCAACAGGATTCTACTAAATTGATAAGGAATAATTCCAGAGACCTGGAACTTAATGAAAAAGAGGTTTAGATTTACATTAACTAAGCAAAATTAGTGGTAGATGGTTAGAACAAGCCAAGTGGTGGAGGCCAAAACCGTCAGTAGTTTCACAGCATTATACAAGAGTGTTCTGGGAAGACGGGACACCACGAGCGTAGCTCTCATCCTGTAACTAAACTTAGGTAATTACAGAAATGTATAAATGTGATATTTACCCACTATAATGTTGATGCTGAATGTAGAACATGAAAAAAAAAAAATTTTAACCCCTCAAATAATAACATTTTATAACAAAATTATACGAAACTAAGTGGCAGGTGACAAGTCAAACCTGGCCTCGGGCCGGGCTTGGGGAGTAGAAGTACTCCCAGAACCCCATCAAGCAGGTATGTAGACAGCAACATGTAGACAGACACCAATATGTAGCAATCAATGATATAACCTCTCCTACTCTACCACTAACCATAGGGGTGCCACAGGGCAGCATCCTAGAACCCCTCCTGTTTCTTATATCTTGAGGTTATCTTGAGATGATTTCGGGGCTTTTTAGTGTCCCCGCAGCCCGGTCCTCAACCAGGCCTCCACCCCCAGGAAGCAGCCCGTGACAGCTGACTAACACACAGGTACCTATTTTACTGTTAGGTAACAGGGGCACATAGGGTGAAAGAAACTCTGCCCATTGTTTCTCGCCGGCGCCCGGGATCGAACCCAGGACCACAGGATCACAAGTCTAGCGTGCTGTCCACTCGGCCAACCAGCTCCCCCATCCCCCCATATACATCAATGATCTGCCTAATGTCTCTAACATGCTTAAACCTATATTATTTGCTGATGATACTACCCTCATCTACTCTCACCCCAACCCACTCATATTAAATAATGTTGTAAACAATGAATTCAAAAAAGTCCACTTGTGGATGTCAACCAACAAACTCGCACTAAACATAGAAAAGACCATCTTATTTGGAAGCAAATCAACAAATGCAATTCAGCTTCAGATAGATAATGTAAACATTAGCAATAAAAATGATGGAAAGTTCCTTGGGCTATACAGACAAGAGACTCAACTTCAGCACCCACATACAACACATAACTAAAAATATATCTAAAACAATTGGTATACTTTCTAAGATCAGATATTATGTACCCAACTCTGCTCTCCTCTCACTATTATGCACTTATCTATCCCTGTCTTACTTATGGTATCCGTTCATGGGGTTCAACCTCTGCAAACTTCCTCAAGCCCATCATCACCCAGCAGAAATCTGCTAATCAGGACAATAAACTCTGCTTTCAGACAATACACAGCATCCCTGTTTAAATTCCTAAACATGCTAAACATAAATTCAGTCCACATATTCTCTTGTGTCAATTACATTTATAAAACCCTTTTTTTAAGTGCAAACCCTGTTCTGAAACTCGTCCTGGACAGATGTAATAGAACACATACTCACCACACCAGACATAAATATCTCTTTGATATCCCCAGAGTCAAACTTAATCTGTGTAAACACACTATGCAAATAAAGGGACCCAGTCTATGGAACTCACTCCCTAATGAACTGAAAAGCTGTCCCAACTTTTGCCATATTCAGAAATAAAACCAAAAAGTACCTAATTTCATCTTCATAGTTTTCTACCTTGTTGCTTTACCTTGCACTGTATCTAGTGCTACCCAATCCCCCAATATTTGTACCTAAGCCATATAACTTTACCATTGTAATCTTAGATATCATCTGATATCATAGTTGTTGTACTGAGTGCATATTCTACTGCAGTATTCCTTGAAATGTTATCCTAATGTACCTAGTAATCCTTGTTCATTATTGTATAGTTGTTAGTTATTGTGTATTATTCTTATCTGCTTTTGTGTCAAAATTTCTTGCAATGTACCTGTAAGCATTTTTTGTCAATTTTACTGTAATTATTCTACTTAAAATTATCTGTCCCTGTAAAGTAAAGCTGTAAAGTACCTGTAAACATTTTTTGTCAATTTTACTGTTAATTATCTAAAAATTATCTGTTAGCTTAAGGACTTGTCTGAAACGCTATGCGTGCTACTGGCTTTACAAGAATGTAAATTCAACTTAATTTCTGTGTTCTCTGTTAACCCCCAATGTACCTTCTTGTATATAAATAAATAACTAAAATAAATAAATAAATGTGGGCCTGCGGGCCGCTCCAAGCAACAGCCTGGTGGACCAAGCTCTCAAGTCATGCCTGACCTCGGGGCAGGCTTGGTGTGTAGAACTCCCAGAGCAGGTACCTGCTCTAGGAGTTCTACAAGCATATATCCAGCAGGCATATGAAGTAGATGATCACCCAGCCTAAGGCAGCACCACTCCTGTGCCAGGTAAGTCCACTACGGGCTCACCATAGCCCGTGCTACTTGGAACGTGTTCCGAGTAGCTGAATCTATAACAACCCAGCCTAATGTTGTGGAGCGACTTGACAAAGATATATTGTTGCATCTAATTTTGTTATAAAATTATACTATTTCAGAGCAAAAGTTTTTTCCTATATCCTACATTCAGCAACAACGTTATTAAATATATCACATTTCTTCATTACTTACGTAATGCTTGAGTAATTAGACCTACACCCCTACAAATACCCCGGCCCGCTCCTGGCTACATATATACTCCACCACAGTTACCCTACACATACCAACACGTATTACAGGTTAACACTGAGCAGGTCACGTGAGTTAGGAAGCAGGAGACGAGGAAGGAGAGTTGTGGTGGTGGCCAGAGTCCGGGTGAGAGTGGCGGGTAAACACACACACCTGCTGCTACTATGGCGGGGTGTTGGTCGCTTACCACACCATCACACCCAGCTGGTTTTCTCTTGTTGTGCCAGGCTGTATTAGCTTAGCATGTATTTACTTAGGTTAACAATTATATGCCAAGGTTAGCATGTATTAGCTTAAGTTAGCAGGTATGGTTGAAGGTTAGCATAGCATAGTATTAGCTTAGGTTAGCATGTATTCGCCGCAAAACAACCGCAGAGGGCAAAATGTTTACTATTACTAGAGAATTCCATGTAATTCCATTTCATTCCATGTAATCTGTTATCATTTTTTTGTCTATAAATTTTGCAAGTATTTACCTCCTTAAAATTTTCTTAGATTAAGGACCTGCCCGAAACGCTGCGCGTGCTAGTGGCTTTACAAGACTGTAATTACCATAATTGTATCCTCACATTCCTTATGTACATTCTTGTATATGCATAAATAAATAAAAATAAATAAAAGAAGAAAACCTCAACACTTTCCTCTCCCAATGTGGTTTGTCTCACCTTATCACTCCCAATGAATTAACTTAATTAACCCCCTGTCAACTAGTGGGGCTAGGTATCCTAAGTCTCCTTGGTTCATTTTCTGACTTAATTTTTAACTTACTCTTACCTAGTCATTTACCGAAATTATTTAATTGAGTTATTAAGTAGTTCTTCAGGTCTTTTTAATTATACAGTCATTACTGAACTATCTATAGTTATTAATCATTAGCTTAAATTTGCCTATGTTTATTATTCAACTTTTCTTTGATTTCATTTATTACCTAGGTTGCCTAGCCTTGCCATGCTCCCTTACTCCATTGTACCCCTGGCTTTGCCTGCATCTCAAATTGCAAATTGTTACTTACAGTGTACCTGTGAGTACTCGTAAGCAATCTACCTCATTTTTGCTCAATTTGTTTTTTTTTGTATTGCTTAGTCTTGCTTATATTTTTTGTTTTGTATTTCCATATCTTGTGTTTTGTATAGTCCATGTTTACATGTTTTTTCTTTAATCTCATTAATTGCCTAGGTTTCCTAGCCTAGCCATACTCCCTTACTCCATTGTACCCCTGTAAGCCCCTTTTGTGTTTGTTTTGTACAGTATTGTGTATATATTTTTCCCTATTTTATAGCTTATTTCTACTTATTTCTGATTCTACAATCAGCTTTTTTTATGCAGTCAAGTATAGACCCAGAACTTAACCTCTTATCCACTATCTATGACAATAATCACTTTAATGATCTAAATTGCAGATATTTTGCAGCACATGATGTAAACAATGTATTAACTCATAATCACAATATCTCTGTAATCAATTTGAACGTTAGATCCCTAGGTAAACACTTCGATGATGTTAGTGCCTTGATTGAAACTATTGGCAACAAATTCTCTTTTATTATACTTACTGAAACGTGGTTGAAAGAGGATACTACTCAGCTCTTTAACATGCCTAACTACTCAGCAATTCACAACTGTCGTCAACTTCAGAGAGGTGGTGGCACTGCTCTTTACTACCACCATGAACTAACATGCTTAAAAGAAATTAGAACTAGAGACTGCTATGGGGAGTATATCTTCGCCAGCTTCAGAGTCAAGGGTGCCGAGTCTGTCCTGTCTGTGGGTGCAGTCTATAGAATTCCCAACACTGATGTGTCTGTATTCAACTCAAACCTTAGAAATCTAATACTTGATAACAGACTGAACAAAAACCACCTAATTATCGCAGGGGACTTTAATATTGACCTCTGCGAGCCAGAACACCCTACTGCTGTTAGCTTCCTCAACTGTATGAATTCCTGCTTCCTCATACCCTTAATCACTAGACCTACTAGAATCACTGATAGCACTGCCACGACTCTAGATCACATCTGGACCAACATAACCTCTCCGCTTACTTCAGGTATAATCACCGATAGCACTACAGACCACTACCCCACATTTCTCTTAACTAACATTAGCAAACCACCTCTAGAAACAAGGGAGTTAAGCTTTAGGCTGCACAATGAAACTGCTATAAACAATTTTATAACTGCTGCTGATAATGTCAACTGGGAGTCCGAGTTAGGTAACATAGGGGACATCAACCTAGCAGTGCAATCTTTTCTACAAACAACTCTTAGCCTTTATAACACCCACTGTCCTAGGCTTACAAAACAAGTCACAAGCAAAAGGCTTAACAATCCTTGGCTTACAAAGGGAATACTGAAATCCATTAACAAAAAACACGACCTTGAGAAGAAGTATAGGTTAGGAATTGTCTCCAAAGAATTCTCAAAGAATTACTCATTATTGCTATCTAAGATAATTAGACGAGCCAAAACTAAATACTACGAAGATAAATTTACTCAAATAAAGAGCAACATTAAACAAACTTGGAGCACAATTTCACAAATATTGGGATCAAAGAAATCTTTAAATAACAAACCGACTCTCCTGTCTAATAACGATGGTCAGCTTTCAGCCTCTGATTCTGCTATTGAGTTCAATAGGTTCTTCTCTTCCATTGGTTCATCCCTTGCAAATGATATTCCATCTTCCAGTACTGACATTAAGGACTATCTTACAGGTAACTATCCACAGTCTCTGTACCTAAAGCCTATTAACTCCACTGACGTCAATGAGATAATCCTTTCCCTTAAAACCAAGTCTGGTGCCCTTGAGGAGATACCAACTTTAATTTACAAAAAAGCCTCCAGATCTTTAGCCCCTGCTATTGCTTTGCTCTTCAACAAGTCACTTGAACTCCAAACCTTTCCAGATATTCTAAAAAAAGCGAGAGTAACGCCTGTCCACAAATGTGGTAATCTCACAGATGTTAACAACTACAGACCTATATCTATCCTGCCAAACTTGTCAAAAAATTTTGAAAAACTTATATACAAGCAGCTTTACTCATATCTAGCCAAACTCAATATACTTAGCCCTTGCCAATATGGCTTCAGACCCAAAAAAAGCACTAACGATGCACTTATTAGTATGCTTAACTCGATTCATACAGCTCTTGATAAAAAGGAGTTCCCTGTTGGGTTATTTGTGGACCTGCGTAAAGCTTTTGATACTGTCAACCACCATAACCTTCTTCTTAAATTACATCATTATGGTGTCAGAGGACACTCCCTACAATACCTCGAGTCCTACCTTACTGACAGGCTCCAATATATTTCTGTGAATAATACAATTTCTCCCACCCTACCCATCAACATTGGTGTTCCTCAGGGCAGCATACTTGGCCCTCTCCTCTTTCTCATCTACATTAATGACCTTCCAAATGCCTCCCAACACCTCAAACCAATTCTATTTGCTGACGACACAACCTTCATTTACTCCAGTCCTGACCCTCTTGCTCTAAATGCCACAGTAAATACTGAGCTAAATAAAGTCCATCTTTGGCTAACTGCCAACAAACTCACCCTTAACATTGACAAAACCTTCTATATTCTGTTTGGCAATAAATCCTCTAGTCTTATAAATCTCAAAATAAACAATACCCAAATTTGTAACAAATTAGATGGCAAATTCCTTGGCATTCTCATTGACCACAAGCTGAATTTCCAGGGACACATTCTAAATATATCAAAAAAAGTTTCAAAAACTGTTGGCATTCTTTCTAAGATCAGATATTATGTACCACGCCCTGCCCTGGTGACTCTCTATTACTCCCTTATCTATCCTTATCTCAACTATGGTATTTGTGCTTGGGGTTCTACTACCCAAAATCACTTACGTCCTCTAATTACCCAACACAAAGCCGCTATTAGAACAATATCCAACTCTGGCCCCAGACATCACTCGGTACCCCTACTCAAATCTCTTAATATGTTAGATATTAAGTCACTGCACATTCTCTCATGTGTATTATACATATATAAAACGCTAAACTATAATGCCAATCCTGATCTTAAAAGCTTCATAGAAGGTTGTAACAGAACCCATGAGCACCACACCAGAAATAAATACAGTTTTGATATTCCTAGAGTACGTCTTAATCAAACTAGAAATGCTCTGCAAATCAAGGGGCCCAGAATGTGGAATGACCTTCCCAACCATGTTAAAGACTGTACCTCTCTCAACCAGTTTAAGATAAAAACTAATCACTACCTAATAAATTCCCTGTAATCTACCTCACTCCTCTATTGTCAACCCATGTCTGTTATTTTCTTTTTTTTTTTTTTTTTTTTTTAATCAACACTGTTTGTCAACCTATTGTATTTGTGCTGCTTTTTCAGTCATGTTCCCCCTTTTTTTTTATCTTTATTTTTATTTGTTCTCAACACCTTTTATTCTTTATGCTCAATTAGTATTAAGTTCTAGATATTAATGTTTTTCTTGCCCGAAACGCATTGCGTAATAGTGGCTTTAGGCATTGTATGTACTAGCTCTATCTATATATCAATCCATTAATGTAACATCACTTGTATGTATATACCTTACCTGAATAAACATCTGAATCTGAATCTGAATTCGCTTAGGTTAGCATGTATTCGCTTAAGTTAGCATGTATCAGCTTAAGTTAGCATGTATCAGCTTAGGTTAGCAAGTATAAGCTAAGGTTACAAATACAAATACAAATTTTTATTCAGGTAAAGTACATACATACAAAGTACATACATGCAAAGTAGGATACAAAAGTTGATGGATTTATAGATAGAGCTAATACATACAATGCCTAAAGCCACTATTACGCAAAGCGTTTCGGGCAGGAAATACTCAGATAAATACTGACATACTCAGCCCCTGCCAGTTTGCTTCCGGTCCCAAAGGAGCACCAATGATGCAATCATTAGTCTCCTTGACGTAATCTACTCAGCCCTTGACAAGCATGAGTTTCCGATTGGACTCTTCATTGACCTAAGAAAAACCTTTGATACTGTTAATCACAACTACCTCTTACTTAAACTCCAGCATTATGGAATCCGAGGCCTTACCCTTGACTACATCCAATCCTATCTTAGCGACAGACACCAATGTGTAATAATCAATGATACAACTTCTACTCTACCAATTACCGTTGGAGTGCCACAGAGCAGTATCTTATTACCTCT